GAAATTATAATTTACTTGGGATAAGAAATTCGCAGTAAAGCCGAGATTGAATAAATGTTTATAATCACTTGTGACGTGTTTGTAGCCATGAGCCATGAGATAAAGTGAGATCGCACTAGAATAGTGTTTAATATATGTGAGTGTATCAGTGCGTGAGTGTAAATAGTATATGTAGTGTAAAGGTTTGTGACTATTGTTTTTAGAAAAAACTGTTTAATAATGGGATAACAAGAAAAAAATTTTACAAAAAAAGGACAATAGTTAAAGAGTCATGCCTGCATGAGGCTGTGTACCTGTGATTCGTTTTTGACCTTAATTACCGGGGTGTTTTCATTCTTTCTTAGGTAAACACGTCCGTAAGAAGTCCAACAGAACTTGTAGTCTTTTGATTTAGCTAGATCGCGAGCGAGAAAGTGTAGTCTAGCGCCTTTCGCAGTGAGCTGCTCGGAGATAAACACTGCAGTTTCTTCATTTTTAGTAGCTCCCAGATGCTTCGCTCGTAGCTTTTCTTTATTTTTGATGTTGTAGGTTTTACAAGATTTTAGTAAATCTGATTTAAGAATCGAGGATGATAACTCAACAATTATTGGAGTATTCGTTTTATTAGAATCTCTTTTCCCTTTTAGCCTGTATATGTCTTTGATATCATCTTTTTTAATACCGCTATTCAGGGATTTTGATAAGCTTACAACCATGTTTATTAAGTCTTCCTTTGATTCTGTGGGTAGTTTTGGCATATTTTTTATTTCAATATTAGCCTTACGTTGTTCCCGCTGCAATTCCTCAAGCTTGTCCTCTAAAATTATAATTTGTTCTCTGTCTTGCTTTAAACGTACTTCAAGCTGTTCTATTTTCTTCCTAAGGTCTTCATGTTGCGATGAGAGGAATGCAAGGCTACTTTCTATGTTGGTATTACTCTCTCTGATCTCTACTTGGGCAGACGTTATTTTTTTAAGCTCTTTTTGTTGTTCCGCAAACAATGACTTAATCATGCCTTTCATCTCTTTTTTAAAACTTAATAATTCATCCTCAAATCCATGCTCTCTAGCCCTTTTTTGACGTTGTTGAACATAGCTCGGTGGTTCATTGTCACCGTAAAGGTCTGTGTGAAAAGTTTCCATTTTGTCGACGTTTGGCTCAGAAACACTTTGTGATTTATTGGCCATAGGAGAGCGTTGAACTTTTGGCATCTTATAAATTCACTAATTGGGAAAACACAAAATTGAATATGAATTTATAATTGGGCCAGACCCTTATTTTTTGCTCCGCTACCGCTTTCGCCTTTAAATTGCACTAAGCGATTAATTAATATGACTCACGCACAGCTTTATTCTAGCGTCGCATCGGCGCGTACGCAAAGTAAAGCGTAGCTCACAAAACTGTTTCGTTCACTGTTGTTGTCCTTCTCACCCGTAGTTAATTGACTTCTTGCGCGTTATGGGCGCCTGGTACTTCACCAAATTTGCGGACAAGATATTATATTTAATTTTATAAAATATTTTACGTAAGCTTACACGTCTTAACGCTTTCGCGGTCCGAGGGGAAGAGGATCATATACTTAAGGGTTCTAACATCTTGAGGACTTTATACAGACTGGCACAAAATTCTACCATTGATAACCAATGCGCAAAGGTGAACAGATGATATCGACAATCCGTATGCATAGAAGATCAAAAACACTTTTTTTTCACACGTTTCTTACATTATCTAATAATATATCTCGAGCACCACACAAACTAGACAGATCTCACAAAGTGCACCTTTGTAACAATCAAAAGTGCCTCATTAAATTCCGCTTAAACCATATTTTTAAGTAGGTCACCTTCAAGGTCATCTTCAGGCCTTTGAGGACCAATATAAGAAACCATTTCATAATCCGACTTCTCATCGGATTGCGGTCAAGAATAGCTAAGTCTGCCTTTATCTGAGACGCTTTTGTGTCTTATTTATATTGTATTGCAGAATTAGAACAGTACTTATAATATATAGGTTGAGAGTTGACCGAGCTTTTCTCTGAATGCTATAGGACGTTGTTGGGCAAGATAATAGATATATAATTTAAAATAGATAGATAATTTAATTTATAAGGCTTATAAGACAGTTAGCAGTGTACAATTTTCGTCGTGTTTGTTATTGACGTCTCGAGACGCCCCATTGGGCTACGTGGCAGACACATTGTTGGATTAGTTTTATTCAAATTTAAAATCATTTATTCCTTAAAGAAATACATATTCAATGCTTCTAATTTTAGATTTAACTGCCAATCGGCACTCTTTTGAAACGCCAAGTTTTTGTTTTACACAATGTTTGTAAGGAACTGCTATTTAAAATTTTATTAATATACATATTAATAACATGGTACTCTTATAACGCATTTTCATATTACGCGATTTCAGCTCCGCGTGTGTCCCCCGATACTGACACGTGTATTCCCCGATATATCGCGGGGATGCCACATGTTATATATCTGTTTTGTGACATTTATAATACTCCTCCTAATTATTCCTTAATTTAAATACCCTATAACGAAAAAAGTTAATCATGAATTATTTTACAGTAGCGAGTTACATGGGGTCATACAAGCGCGTTATGCGAGAGCTTCTACAACGCGTTTTATATAACGCGGCAACAATCTACTGTGTAATAGGAGGGACTTGTATAAGACTTCTATAGATGCCGCGACCGACGCTTTATCGGTTGAGAGATGTAATTCAAAATACTAACACCACTACTAGATTTTTTGGTTTGTTAAGTTTATAAGTGCGCTGCCATCGGCAAATAATTCAATGATATCCTATCCCAGCAGCATTGGCTAAGCAATCAAAATAATATGCAAATAACTTTTTAAGAAAGTGTACATACATTGAGAAAATAGTTGAAAAACAAACTTGAAGATTTGAGGTCATAATATGATTAAATTTTACCGGTATTATCTAAATACTACCATTAATAAATATACTGTGTTAGAATAAATTCTTATATATTAATGTAATTAAAAAAAATCCTTTCAATGTGCTAGATTTGGGAACCCTTTAAAGTCAGAACGAACTGTGTCAGGGTTCCCAGCTCTTCTATAAGAATTAATTACAATTTTGTTTTTTTTTTTAAATCTATTTACAACAAATTCTTCTAATTTTAACAGCATACGTGTACGTAACGCGTAACACGCGGGAGTGTGTGTGAATGAGTGAGTGTAATATGTATGAATTTGTAACTACAATATGTTAAGTCTCAGGAGCATTTCCAACGCTTCGTAAGGCGAGTTCAGAAGTGAGTTATATATATATAGAATTTGGTTCATTTAACGCGCTTGCATCGAAACTGTGATAGATTCCCGTCTACGTAATAACGACAGGAAAAGGCCGTTCCCCCAGGCAGTCGCGTATATATTGATAATAATGATAATTTATTAATAATTACAAAATAAAGCCACGGACCAGACACACTACATGATATTATACCGTTCAAATTCTTTGTCTAAAAAACGCAAGCAAATATGCGATGTTCTTTTTATGTTTGCAATTACTAGTAAGAATCAAAGTGAAAGTATTAAACAATTACCTAATGATATAAACAGTATAAAAAATGATGTCTCTAATAATAAACTAGAACTAGAGCAGGCAAGAAACAATGAAGTGAATCTGAGAATCGAGATATAGAGGTTTAGTTTTAGGTTTTAGAAAACGTTAGAATTTTTTTTGACTCGTATTGGACGAAATCGTCGCCGGGTTGTCAAGGTACCCTCAATCAATGAGAAATTACCCTTTTAGATATTATGGTCGCGTTCTAGGCGAAACGATTCTGTTTACGCATCATAAAAATCAATAATTTATACCGTCACATCTCTAATTATTTAAAAAAAATTGTAGTTGAGTTTCTACGTAATATTTATACATAATAGTTTCTTCTTTATTTTTTTACTTGTGTAATACTATAATAATAATAATAAGCCTTTTTATTTCCTGTTTTACAATAGTTGGTAGTTGCTATATTACAGTAACCAAAAATATTGATTTTGTTAGTAGGTTAGCTTAGATTATGTTAGTAATATATATATTATGAATTAACAGGAACCCCGATTTGGGTAAAGGCCTCCTCCAAAGATGCCCATTTTTGTCGGTCCTGTGCTATGGAGTGCCAGTTTTTGCTAGCTGATCTTTTCAATGTAATACTATAAGCTAACCCAATGTTTTATTGTATTATTAGTAAGTACATTTTACGTAAGTGAATGTTGCAATGTTCATAATGAAAATAAATATCTTGAAACTTAAACCTTATAAAAACTGCAAAATAAATAATAAGTGTCTGAGTTGTGAAATGCTTTTACCTAGAAACATTTATTTAAAATAGGCGTTTAAATTAAAACTGGCAGTTTTAAAATTAAATAGGTGTAAATAAACGCTGTGGAGATGTTCGTTTAGTCTTAATTAATTAAAAAACTGTCCTAGTTAAACCGTGTCGAGCTTTCATGACATCGGATGTATTTTAAGCTTTATCAGCTTTTGTTAAAAGCTTATATTATCAAGTATTTAATTAGTATGATATACTGAAGTGGCTCCTCTAAATTAATTCTAATTAAGATCATCTTTGATAGTTAGAAAATTATATTAATTTATTACGAACGAATGAATAAAACAGTATTTTCTTTATTTGTATATACACATTTTTATTATTACCAAAACAGCGTGTTTAATAACTTATAATAGATATGAAATAAACCAATCGTTCTAATGTATGGTTTGGCGTTGCAATCGTTTAATTTGGATAGCAATCGGTCTCGAAACATATTTAATATGTTATGATAAAAATAAATAAATAAAAAATAAAATAAATAAAAATGTCTTTATTCAGTTTACGTAGATATGCATCACAATGTGTAAGATTTGGAAACCCTTTTAAGTAAGAAATACCTAGGTACCTACCGAATAGTCAGGTTCCCAGCTCTTCCATAACAAACTCAAATATAATTCCTTAAGATATGTAATCTATTTGAGTCCCTGATGGGAGTTGGGCCGAGATTGGCCCAACTCCCATCAGGGACTCGAGCCTTCTGGTCTCTCGCCAAAGCTGTCCAAGGGAATTTTTGTCAGCCCGCCATTCCGCCACTGCACAGGGAGGATGACTCTCTGGCCCACACTGCGAAGGAGAAGGCTGACCTTTTGGGCTGTCTCTTCGCGTCTAACTTGACTTTGGATGACCGAGGGAGATCACCACCGACCATTTCGCGGTGTGATTCTTCGATGCCGGAAATCACATTCCGGCAACGTGCTGTCCGCAAAGCACTATCTTCCTTGGACATTCATAAGTCGAGCGGGCCGGATGGTATCCCCCCAATTGTGCTGCGTACTTGTGCTCCTGAGTTGGCTCCGGTCTTAACGCGCCTTTTCCGGTACCTGTACTCGCTCGGCACTGTCCCGAAGTGCTGGAAGACCGCTTTGATACATCCGATCCCTAAAAAAGGCGATCGCTCTGATCCGTCCAACTATCGCCCAATAGCTATAACCTCCTTGTTCTCCAAAATAATGGAATCCATTGTTAATTGCCAGCTCTTGAGGTATCTAGAGGGCCACCAGCTGATTAGCGATTATCAGTACGGCTTTCGTCGTGGTCGTTCGGCTGGTGACCTTCTTGTATACCTTACACATAGATGGGCAGAGGCAATTGAGTCCAAGGGGGAGGCGCTAGCGGTTTGTTTGGACAGCGAAAGCCTTCGATCGGGTGTGGCACAGAGCACTGCTCTCGAAGCTTCCAGCCTATGGGCTTCCCGAGAAATTACGCGATTGGATCTCCAGCTTTCTGGCCGATCGGAGCATCAAGGTCGTCATCGACGGAGCATGTTCCGACCTAAAACCCGTAAACGCTGGGGTCCCACAAGGCTGTGTTCTATCCCCGACCCTATTTCTTCTGCATATCAATGATATGTTGAAACTTAGCAACATTCATTGCTATGCGGATGACAGCACTGGGGATACTTTTTACACTGGCCGGGCAGGTATTTCTCGGGCAATTGTTGATGAGTACCGGAACAAACTTGTGTCTGAAGTCGAAACTCTACTACGTGGAGTCTCAGATTGGGGCAGACAAAACCTAGTCCAATTTAACCCCAAGAAGACACAAGTTTGCACGTTTTCCGCTAAAAAAACACCCTTTGTCGCTACTCCTCTTTTCGAAAACACTCTTCTTAAAGCCACAGCCAGCATTGGAATAGTTGGCGTTGACATATCGAGCGACGTTCAGTTTCGCGGTCACTTGGAGGGAAAGGCTAAATTAGCCTCCAAAAAGCTTGGTGTGCTCAGCAATGCAAGACGGTACTTCACTCCGGGCCACCGCATGCAACTATATAAAGCGCAAATTCGGCCCCCACATGGAGTACTGCTCTCACCTCTGGGTGGGGGCTCCCCAGTACCAGCTCCTTCCACTTGACCGTATACAACGCAGAGCGGTTCAAATCGTCGACGACCAATCCCTCTCCGAGCGGCTTGATCCTTTGGCGTTGCGTAGAGATGTGGGGTCACTCTGCATCTTCTACCGCATTTTCCATGGAGAGTGTTCAGAGGAGTTGTTCGGATTAATACCTGCAGCTGAGTTTCATCATCGGACGTCGAGGCAGAATACGAAATTCCACCCGTATCACCTCGACGTCCGTCGTTCCACAACTGAGCGTTTTTCAAGGCAGTTTTTGCCGCGCACCACCACTATGTGGAACCAGCTGCCCACTGAAGTATTCCCGAACCAATTCGACTTAGGGTCCTTCAAGAAAAGAGCGTACCAATTCTTAAAAGGCCGGCAACGCACTCGCGAGCCCTCTGGCATTGAGAGTGTCCATGGGCGGCGGTATCACTTAACATCAGGTGAGCCTCCTGCCCGTTTGCCCCCCATTCTATAAAAAAAAAAGAATTATATTTAGTAGTTCGGTTGGTGCTGGAGGTAATAACGTTCTTATGGGCTCCAGGATTCCATTTTCAAGCATCCAGCCCCATTCTTGAGGTTCTAAGTCATTCCCTAACCACGTTTGAATCTGGTAGTAGACGCGATTTATATGTTGATGAGCTGCTACACTTGTTGGTGGAAGTGTTGACAATTGTACAGGTTTATTTAGTTTCGTTAATTTAATGAATGCGTGTAGCGAAAATGATCAATGTTGTCCTCAGATTTTGGAGCATTATATAATGCCAACAAGATGCGCACTCCATTTTCAAATAATGTTTGTACCGGGCAGTTTTCTTGTTGAAATACTTCCACCAGTTTATCCAAATTGGGAATTTTCTCCAACGCTTTAGTAACAGTTTTTTTACCTTTTTTAAATAGCGCAGAAGTCGTGTCACAGCCACTAAATGCGTGTAAAAATAGAATGTGTTTTTTAGTACGCGGATATTGATCAAAACTTTTGGAAGGGTATATTTGCGTCTTAACATTGCCTTTCCCAACTTTTTTAAAGAAAAATTTCCTGTTGATGTGATTGAGTACGCCCAATTAGAATAACGAGCAAATCAATATCTTCTCCTATGATGACGGCAGTCTTTTGATGTTCTGATAATGCAATAGCTGTCTCGATGATGAGAACATCAGCATCATCTCTGGCTTGTTTTGTTGTGATATCAATAGTTTTTAATTTTTCGACAAGCATGTAGATAAATTTTGTTTTATTACACCGATTTGATAAAAATTTCTCTTGGCTGATTGGCACAATCATTGTTTCGTCAAAACAAACTTCATACGATTTAGAAAGTGCAGCAGTTCTTCTTTGTTGTTCCATTGCTTTAATATTTTTACTATTGTCCGAATATCCGTCAAATACAACAACAATTTCTGAACCATAATGTGTTTGTAAATATTGAATGTATTTATCTAAAATAATGGAGAAAGTATCGTCTTTGCTCCATACGACGCGATGCAGAAGAAATCCACCGTCGATGATGTATGTTACATTATTTTCATCAAGCTCGATATCGACAGGTATCATATTGTCATATAACGTCGCTTTCGTGGTTTTTCTCATGCCATTACTATCAAATAAAGATGTCGGATACGGGCTTAGTTCATATTGAAGATATTCTTGTAGATTACTTTCAAATTTTTTGCTTACAGTTATTCTCTGGAAAAGTAACAACGGATCTACAGAGACTTTACAATCATTAATATTGACAGATTTGTTAACGGCTGAAAGCGGCAAAACCTTATCGACGCGTTTTAACTTTATCTCATTAAAGTTCAAACCAATTATCTTTTCCATAGATTGCAATCCGAGTTCATGGGCTCTATAACAATTAATTTGGTCATTTCCAACGATTCCTGAAGCTAAGGATACCAACTGATTCGTATTTGGAAAGGGATTATGAAGAGTATACTAATCAACCAGTTTATTAACATCAGTATTATCCCTTTTTATTCGTGAATATCTAGCATCAACATGTTGGTCTACAGAATCCAAAGAAATGTTACAAAACCGTTCAATTTCTTCACAAATTGTATTCGTGGCATACATAGCATATAACCACTTACATAGAACACTTTCTTGTGTACTTCGGCCTCGAGATACTCCTCCTTCTGTCTTCATAGATTTCATAAGACTTTGCTCGATTACCATGTCTGTCCATGTACCAGAATTAAATTTTTCTGTTCGTTTTACAGTAAAGAATCCGTTTTTAAAGTTCTGAAAACTCTGTTCATCCATTGTCTCCTCCAGTTTTATCATATCTTGAAGATATAAATGAGCTGATTTCGCATATAGGAAATGACCACCAGCATGAAAATACGGCAACATTTTCCGCACTGCATCCAGATGTTCTTTAAAAAGTCCCAGTCTTTCAGCACGAATGAAATCTAGAGCTATTGATACCATTTCAAAATACTGCGCCCATAACTGTGCTGTGGGACCTCGAGCTTTTAATTCATTCAGTTTATCCTGAAATTGATCAATTAACGAGTTGGAGCTACTTTTACATCCTTCAACATCTTCGTAGGAAACATCGCGACTAGTTATCTGTTCAATTAACTCATCTAAAATACAACCTTCAATCTTCATCTCTTCAAAAATCTTCATTGATAATGCAAGTCGTAATAATGTATGGCCTCTGATACTTCTTGCATAAGCGTGACCATACAACATTTTGTCGACCGAATTTGTAGCATATATTGTACTTAAAGCTTCCTTAAGACCACTACCGTCCATTATATATCCTATGCATCCAAGAAAAGACATAAGCATATGAAATCCTCCTAGTTTGACAACTGTTTTAGACAAGTCTGAGTTTGCATCTGACGCGGCAATCATTTCACGTGCTTTTGAGTACAGGGGTTGATCAAATGTAATTATGCACGTCTTTTGTTGATGTGACTTGGCAATATTTATAGCACAATGTAAAGTGGTATAAATTGTATCTAAATGACTAGCCGGATGATCAATGAAAGGTAGAAATATAACTTGAGTCAAAGTCAAAGTCAAATCGTTTATTTCAATTAGACCATCTAAAATGGCACTTTTGAACGTCAAAAAAAAAAATATAAAAATAGATGATTCTAGTTGCCCCTTCCAAAAGGTAGTTTCGTGTGGAGAAGAATGGGCAAGAAACTCCACACTTACTCTTTTAAAATAGGTTTACAATATTTTGTTACATTTGTTAAATAATTATATGTGAAGACAATGTACTCTTAGAATAAACTACTATACTAAAAAAGTTAGTATACATGTTCCTCACATATTTACAAATATCGAAACCTTAGAATATTAACATTAAAGAGTAATAAAAATATTAAAAAAACACAACAAAACAGTGTGTGAGATACAAAAAAAAAATAATTACATTTGTAGCATTATATAAATTAAAAAAAATAATAATAATAATAACAAAAATATGTTAAAGCAAAAAATCAGCAACCAATTTGATTTTGTCCAGGCTATAGAGCCAATCATAGGATTGTCCTATGGAGCAGGACCAGCATGTTTCCAAGCATTCTTATCTTGAATATAATCATCTAATTTGTAATATGCTTGTTTACAAAGTGTACTTTTAATAAAACATTCAAATTTTCGTTCATTTAGTTTTAAAATGTCACAAGGTATTTTATTGTAACATTTTACACAGTACCCCATAAATGAATTTTGAACTTTGGCTAATCTGAAAGATGGTTGAGCTATTTTATCTTTATTTCTAGTACTAAAATTATGTCTTTCATTTATTTTACTAAAAAGATGTAGATTCTTTCTTACATACATAATATTTTCATAAATGAATTGGCAAGGTACTGTCATAATATTAATCTTTTTAAATAGTTCCCTGAGAGATTCGCAACGACGTAGATTATAAATGGCCCTGACCGCTCTCTTTTGCAAAATAAAAATGGATTCTATGTCAGCAGCCCGACCCCACAGTAAAATGCCGTAAGACATTATGCTGTGAAAGTAGCTAAAATAGACCAAACGCGCAGTTTCTACATTGGTTAAATATCTTATCTTTCTAACCGCATAAACGGCTGAGCTCAGCCGCCCCGCAAGAGATGTGATATGAGGTCCCCATTGTAACTTCTCGTCTAGCGTGATGCCTAGGAAAACCGTTTGATTAATAAATTCCAGTTTTCCTTCATTCAACATTATGTCACATTCCTCACTTTTAACATTTGGCAACGTAAATCTAATACATTTAGTTTTTTTATCATTCAGTGCCAAATTGTTTACCGTAAACCAATTTTGGACCCGAAGAATAGAGTTATTCACGTCGTCACGATTTTGTGACCGTCGATCTACTTTAAAAATCAATGATGTGTCATCTGCAAATAACACCATCTTCGGTTTATTCTGAACTAATTGGGGTAAATCATTTATGTATACTAAAAAGAGGAACGGACCCAATATTGAACCTTGAGGAACGCCCATTGTAATTTCAGACCCTAACGAGTTTATGCCGTTAACCTGAACTTTAACCTGTCTGTTTTTCAAGTAAGATCTTAGTAAGTCCAGAGCTTTGTTCTTAATCCCGTAGTGATTAAGTTTCAGCAGAAGAGTCTCATGGTTTACGCAATCGAACGCCTTCGAAAGGTCGCAAAAGATTCCAATGGCATCTTGTGCTTCCTCCCAAGCGTTAAAAATGTTCTTGATTAGGGAGACACCGGCGTCAGTTGTACAACGCCCTTTGGTGAAACCGTACTGTTGTTCATGAAAGATGGAGTTTTTATTAAAGTGACATAACATTTGATTGAGCATTAACTTTTCAAACACCTTACTGAGAGCTGGCAGAATTGACACAGGTCTATAATTATTGGGTTCTTTACTATCACCGGATTTGAACAACGGAACTACTTTACTGTGTTTCATGAGATCCGGAAAGACTCCTTGGTCTATGCTGGTGTTAAATATGAAAGCTAAATAAGGCGCAATAGTTTCGATGATAGAACTACAGACTTTTACAGACAATCCCCAAAAATCTTCTGTAGATTTAATTTTAAGATCTTTAAAAGCTTTCATAACAGCCTGGGGGTTTGTATATTGAAATCGAAACTCCGTAGGGCATGCCCTCACATTCTTCGTAAGTAACGCAAAAGAAAGTGCGGATGATGAACTTAAAGCTTCGGTAGTTTTAAAGGGAATATTGATAAAAAAGTTTTCAAATTCCTGAGCTATTTCTGCATTTGAGTTTATTGGGCCATGTGCAGTCTCTAAGTTAAATTCAGTATTACGCTGTTTTTTTCTACCAGTTTCATTATTTATAATTTGCCAGGTAGTTTTTATTTTGTCATCCGCTGATTTTATTTTATTACTAATATACAGTGCTTTAGCAATTTTGCACACACTTTTAAAAGTTTTTGAATATTTCGCAACATGCTGATGAAAGTTTGTATTTTTTACATGTTGCCTTAGGCCATACAGTTCAAAAAGTTTATCCCTGCTCTGAATACCTGGAGTCGCCCAATCACTAAATAAGAACTTGGTGTAAATACTTTTTGTCTTTTGTGGAACAATGTCATTAAATTGCGATTTTAACAAGGTAAAAAACTCCGCATAGAACTCATTAGGGTCCCAAATATTATTAAAGTTTTGAACACACAATTTACTGGTCACGGTATTATTTAATTTCTCTAAATTTTTACATGTAATTGGCCTATACCTTATTTGAATTTTTTGTACAGGTATGTAGGCACAAAACGTTATTGTTTGTCCACTGTGATCAGAAGGCAATTTATTAACAATTTCTTTATGTAAGTAATCACAATTACAAAAAATATTATCTATACAAGTGGCAGAAGAAGCTGTCACTCTAGTTGGTTCCATAAAAACATTAGACAGATTAAATGATTTAAAAAGACTTATTAATCTGATACTATTTGAGTTTGTTTCTAATAAGTTAATATTAAAATCACCACTTATGATGATTGATTTACTACTAGTACTAGGTTTTTTTAACACATCTTCCATTACAGAATCAAATACAGATAGATTCTGATAGCCCGGAGATCTGTAAACACATACTACAACATGCTTATCGAGCTCGACACAGGACAACTCTATAGAATGTTCAACTGACAATCTGATAATGTCTTTCCTTTCTTTAGATTTAACAGAATTTTTGATTAATATTAATGATCCACCGTGTATCATACACTTCCGGCTGAAATAGCTAACTACACAATAATTTTCATAATTAATAGACATTATCTGATGATCATTTAACCAATGTTCAGTTAAACAAATAATATCGAACTTGGTTTTTTCTAAAAACATTTCTATTTCCAGTAATTTGGAAGAGCAACCTTGAATATTCTGATGAAATAATCTTAAAGTATGTTGCTTTCCTTTTGGTTTATTAAAACATGTTAAATTGCCAGAAGATACCTTTTTATTATCCACAAATAATAATTGATTATTTAAACGGTTAACTTCTGTTGTCTTATAGCCTAGTTTAAAGTACTATCCGGAGTGACCTCTACAGTTGTAGAATAACCTAAGGTATGTGTTCCAGCAGGAAGAGTATACTCTATCTGACTGGTATTGGCCTCCAAGTATGTTGGTATTATAGGTGGACCCTCCTTCGTACAACATAAAGATATATTATCAATCACTGTGTTGTTAGTGTAACTAGGCAACACAGTCTCGTCACTAATCCTAGAATTTGTTATATTAGCTATAACCTTGTTAATATTGTATGCTATTAACATAGCAATCAACCGTCTACATTCAAAAGACAGAGATAAAGTTCTCTGAGTTAACTTAGAACCACTAATAAACTTATTAGTGTCAAAATATAATAATTTGTCACTATGACGACAAGAAGAGAAAAAGAAGTTGAAAAATTCTTATTATTTTTCGTATGTTGTTGAAGATAGCCATTCCACCCTGGCAACTGTTAAAGATTCTTCCATTTTCCGTATAACCACAAAAAATCAACAGCATTAATTTTTTTTTCAATTAGTACTTGATCGTCATGTAGATTTTGGACTTGAATCTTGCTGTACCCTGGTACAACTGGCTTTTCATATGCTAAAAGAGACATAACAATAAAATATAAAAACGGAACACCATTAATAACAAAAACTTCATCAAAAAACTGATAATTAAAGAAGCAATACCGAATGTAAACACATATCAACTGCTCGACAGCTACAACGACTTACAAAAAACTAATTTCAGACTGTCATTCTTTTATCTAAATGCTCGAAGTATTTGCAAACAAGGAAAGTTTGATGAACTACAATGCGTGCTTAAATCGTTCTCGACAACTATACACATAATATTACTAACTGAAACCTGGATCAAAAATGAGAAACAGGCTTGCGAACTAAAACTACCAAATTACACACACTATTACAATTTTCGTACAGATACAATTGGTGGTGGAGTTTCTATATATGTTCATAACAGTCTTGAGTACAACTTGTCAGAATCAATCTACCAGGATGGAAATAATTATCTTTGGGTACAATTAAAAAGATATAAAATAGAAGTAGGTGTCATCTATTACCCTGGTAATACTAACTACAATCAATTCCTTGAAGCATACACTCAACAGCTTCGGAGAAGACGCAGAGCTATAGTTTTTGGAGATTTCAATACAGATTTATTAACTAAAAACACTAAATCTAAGCAGTACATTGAACTTATGAACGAAATTGGATATACAATACTCAATAAAATATCTAAAAAAGTATTCCACAAGGGATTCAACAACACGAAAATCTATATTAGATCACGCTACAACGAACCTAATAAGAGATCACTTTCACATGGCTTTAATAGAATCTTCTATGTCAGACCATAAACATATATATGTAGAGTTAAAAACTGTCAAGATTCTGAAGAAAGAAATTATCGAGTACCAAGCGATCGATTACGAAAAATTGGGAAAATTAACAACAACTCTTGCACTTGACGAAGATAATGATGACTACAAGATACTGGAAAATTCTATTATAGATCACGTAAACAACTGTAAAATAATCAAAAGAAAATACTTAATGAACCTCAAAAGGATTGGATTAATAATGATTTAATCAGCGAAATAAACTATGGATAAAATTAAAAAACATGCGTGACTGTGAAACTACGAAGCAAGAATTCGAAGACTATAAAAACTATGTTTGTAAACGCATTAGGGATACCAAAGATGCCTATTACTTTCAAAAATTCATAAAATTAAAAAATAATCCGAAAAAAATGTGGAACCTTGTAAATGACCTAGCAAAAAATAAAACAAATACTAGCTGTGGGCCTTCGAAAATTATAATAAATTCTATCGAAATTACTAATAAAAACAATATTTGTGAGGAATTTAACCGATACTTCACTGGAATAGGTAAAATTCTGGCTGACGAAATACCAAAAACCTATCATGATAATTTTTCAAAAGCTTTACCTTCAACTAAACAGTCTACAAACTTGATGTTACTAGAACCATGTAGTAGTGACGAAATTTTAAAAGTAATAAATAATTTGGATACACATTGTAGTGCAGGCCTGGACGGTATTAGCACAAAGTCTATAAAATGTATAAAAGATCATATTGCTAAAAACCTATCTAAATGTTTTAACAAATTATTAGAAATTGGAGAATTCCCAGACTCTCTAAAAATAGCTAAAGTTACTCCCATTTTTAAATCTGGATCTAAAACTAATACTGGAAACTATAGACCAATCTCGGTGCTACCCATAATAAGTAAAATACTTGAAAAGATACTATATAACCGTCTTACAAAGTATCTAACGTCTATAAATTTTTTATTTGAACGACAGTATGGTTTTAGACCAAAAAGTAATACTTTAACTGCAACTATTGACTTAATTACTAAAATTAGGACCAACATAGATAATAAAAACATTACGTTAGGTGTATTTATTGATTTAAAAAAAGCATTTGATACTGTAAGCCATAAACTATTACTACAAAAGCTTGAATGCATTGGAATCAAAGGCACAGCTCTCAAAATTTTTCAATCATATTTAAAAAATCGATTTCAGGTAGTTAAAATAGATAATACTCAGAGTAAACCATTGCCTATCGAATACGGCGTTCCACAGGGTTCTATTTTGGGTCCATTACTCTTTCTTATTTATATAAATAACTTGCATGAAATTGGGTTAAACGGTCACCTTACTTTATATGCAGATGATACGTGTTTATTTTACTTTGGCAGTTCAATCAAAGATATCTTCAGCAGAGCCCAAGAAGACCTTAATCTACTCTTCACTTGGTTTCAATATAATTTACTCACTGTCAACGCGTCGAAAACATGCTACATTATATTTAAATCTAAAAATAAAAAAGTTTTACCTCATGATCCATTAAAAATAAATAACACGGTCATAGAAGAAAAAAGTACAGAAAGATATCTCGGGCTTAGAATGGATAGCGGTTTGACGTGGAATACACAAATTGAGAACACCAGATCTAAGCTCTGTTCACTTATGGGATCACTTCGACACATTGCTCGGTGTATCCCACGTCAGGTACGTTACACCATCTACAACTCGTTGGTCAAGCCACATCTACTTTATTTAATTGAAGTATGGGGCAGCGCCGCTAAAACTAAATTAATAAATATTCAAGTATTACAAAATAAAATTATAAAAATACTGTTCCACTATAATTATCTTGCACCTACCATAAATATATATCGAGACACAAACATAATGAATCTAAAACAACTTTATATTTATCACACATGTATTCTTGTAAAAAATTTATAACAAGTTCTCTCCATACTAGTTTAGCATTCTCCAAACCGCCACGTGTACGAAGTATGCGTCGAACGAGTTATCTTGCATTACCTAAAGTACGTACGAACTACGGCAAAAAAATGTTTACCTACGAAGGCGCACAGCTGTATAATAAACTACCCACAGATATAAAAAATATTACTTCTATCAATTCATTCAAATCGAAGCTAAGTGAATATGTTAAACAAAATTTAATTTTAAATTCATTTCTTATTACTTACTTATTACTTACTTTTTTTTTTAATTCATATTTCTTTGTTTACTTTTATTTTTTAAATTTATTGCATATACGGCTATATTTTATTGTGATTATTTTAAGAACGACTACAATGTTATGTTATCTAGAGTATTATTCTCATGTAAGTGACATTTGTTGTCTTTTTTTGAGAAATAAAGTCTTTAAACCTAAAAGAGATACATGTGATATTGCTGCCAACTCTTTTGCACTTGGTGTAGTTGTACATTTTTTTATACGATCATCATAAATAACAGCATCTTTCGGAGTAACTATTTTTATCATTCCCATAACGTGAAGAGTATTATTACCGTCAAGAGTACTGACATTAATATCTGCATTGTTTCCAACATATTGCACCAATGCACCTCACTCTGATGGTAAAATACGAGGCTGTGGATGGTAAACTGCTGAAACTTCATACTGTACAGCACTACTATATGGAGCAGCAAATCCCAAAGTTGATAAAACATCTAATAATTTCTTAGATCCATATCTTCTGTGAAGAAATACAGAAAGGCCTAATAGTAGCTGTGATGAAAATGATCGTTCTCGTATCGAAGCCATTATTGCGTGACTGATAGATGTGCATTTCGTTTTTAAATGATCTACTTGTCCTTTTCTATTCTTTAATATAATTTCTTCTAAAAAATGTAATAATGTTTTTGGTATTTCTTCATTAATACCATCTAGCATTTTATTTGGAGGTGGATACGTCTTAGTTTCGACTACAGATGATCTAATATCTTCCCTAATAATTGCCGCAGCAGCTTCTACAATACGTAAACGTTCTTCTGCAGGGGTGCTTTTTTATTTTCGTACCAAGCTTTTGATAGTACATTAACCTGTGTATCACGGAAAGATATAATTGTAAATGCTCCTATTTTTTTTGTAATTATTATGTCAGTTAAATACTTTTGTTGTAGTTTTGTAATAATCGTCTTATCGTCGGGTATGTACTCGGTAAGGACATCTTTAAGTTCTTTCAACGTAAATTGAGAATCTTCATTATTTTCTATATAACAAAAAATCTCCTTCATTGCTTGAGTGACTTGATCATCTTGGCGCGGCTTCTTATCAGCAGATGGTACTCGAGTTAAAAAGTTGGTATAGCAAATAGTATGATACTTTGCTTCAGCAGCGATCAAATCAAAGTATACGTTCCTTTACTAATTCTCCTAAGAAATCGTTGCGTTCTTCTGCTCTTTTAATTACGTTCTCTTTAAACGCTACAGTGCTTACATTACTTATTGTCCGTCTGTACTTCTCCCTTTTTTTCCTTTCCGCTACTTCATTAGCTTCTTGGCCACAAAATAAGCACAATTTTTTAAAATCAAACACTTCGTTTCTTTTTTTACGAGGTGCACTTGGCGTTGAAGGTTCACCCTCTTCTGTGCGTCGTTTCGATGCAACAATAGCATTTTTACTAGTGTACACTTTTCGACACTCGGAATGCACATTCACAGAACTTAAAGTATTTAAATAGTCTATATGTCCATCATTTCTTTCAATACTTGCAGTTTTTAAAGTTTGTAAACCACGTACAACATTCACAGAAACACCCTCTGAAAGTGACTTATCACATATAAAACACAAATCAGCCATAGCTCTTAAAACCGTACGTCCGTCGTTGCGAAGATACAATTTCAAACTAACGAATAGTCTTGACGAATACAAAGTGGTCCCTTAAAAGAGAAAGTGGCCTTGAATACAATAGAACATCTGTCCCGGCTATAAATAGAATGAACCTTCAATATCTTAAGACGCGGACACGGTATCATTTGTGACTTTTGAGACAACATTTAGAACGACAAAACAAAGGTCTATACCAATTTGTAGCTTATTATCTTTCATTCCGAGGATGACCCCTTTTTTTACCTAATATGACTGGGCTAAGTCAGTCCTTACTGTCTGACCTACGACAACATCCCTATTTCTTTTTAGGTACAGCCTATTATCAAACGTTATAGTTTTCAGTAGGAGAAGAAATAGAAAAGAAAACGTTTTTGAATTGCCTTAATAGTATCGATATGAACCTTTTGATGTGGATGACCTTCTTACCAGATATAGATGTAATGTGAGCAGTGTTGGCCTAGGGGCTTCAGCGTGCGACTATCATCCCTGAGGTCGTAGGTTCGATCCCCGGCTGTATACCAATGGACTTTCTTTCTATGTGCGCTAACCTCGCTCAGCTTGCCTTACCCAAAAAATTTACGCCGTGTGTTAGGCACATACTTTAATATTTGATTGACAGATGATGATGAAACAGAAACAGAGATCTGAGGCCTAGACCTAAAGAGGCTGTAGACCTACTGCTTTATTTATTTTAATTTTTATAGAATGTGAATGTAATAAGCTAGTATTTAATTAGATTTATTAACATGTATTTAAATAAATTTAATTTGGTTTGAATAGGAGAGTTAAGACCGCCCTTCCCCGTCCGACGAACGTCAACGCGAGCATGGCCAAAAAGCTTTTTGTTTCATCCAGCGCAATGTCAGCAAGTGAGAACGCGATAACATTGAAATAAAAATAGCGTGCGGAAATTTCATAAAACTTGTTCCAAGAAATACGTGTTTTTTCGTAAGCCTTACAAGATTATGAAAAAAAAGTTTTACATTTAGAAACTCCATTACATTTGCAAGGTTTCTATGCAAATATTTTTTTCCGGTTACAATTAATGAGTACATTATAAACACCCAAACTTCATATAAAAAATTGTGCAAAAATGCTGATTTTTGGAGGTTTGTACTGAATTTGTTTCTTAAAATTTTGATTTCCCGTTTTAATAGAAACCTAGATATAGTGCACAAGGTGCCTATTAGTTCAAAAGTTTCAAAGAAATATCTGTTACAACGCCATTATCACGTACGAGCGTTTGTATGAAAAGATAGACGGGTTGGCCGCTCTTAAGGTTATATCAATGTAAATAATTTGAATTTACTTAAAGAGATATCTAACTGTCTCCATAGCGCTGTTGGTTTGTTCAATTGTCTGTACATTGGGTCCAGTTTTAACAAAACAATGATGTTTTGGTTCGTACCCAACAAGGTATTATCAGTGAACAGAACACTTTTGTGTTCGAGTTATTCAAAATTTATTATTTTAATAAGTTTTCTCAACCCTTCGTGTTTAATTTAATAAATAAACCTATTGTAGTATTGGTTCATATATTTTTTATATAGGCTTACGGATTTACATAATTTATATACATATGAGAATGAATTTAGCTGCGAATATAATGTCATTTTACGAAATAACTGAAAAAACTTTTTTTCCTATGTCCAATGTCCATAAACTTGTAAATCAAAACCAAAATATATATTTTTAAGTTATACTCCTTTAGGCGCGTTGTGAAAAATTGATGAGAATGAAATTTTACGATGCGCGCGCACCGTGACCCAAAATTAACAGAATGAAGTTGCCCACGGAAGATGCTACGGCATTAGACAATTTAAAAACAACATTCGAATAAAATAATAGAATTTATGTTACACTTAATGTAAGAGAATAATAATAAAAATTTATTTATTTAATTTTTCAAATGTAAACTGAACTTTATTGACTATAATGACTCCTTTTCCAGTCTTTGATTATTTAATAGTAATTAATTATTTGCATGCAATCAAAAACTATTTTTAATAATGCCAAAGAAGTATAACTTCTTACGCGCGTACATAAGTACACGCACCCTTTTATTTATTTAGGTAACACGTGAGGTACGAGTAGGCCAAAACCTATCGGGTTCACGGTGCGACACTCAGCTACATAAAACATCTAAGGTTCTAGGTTCGATCCCCGTTCGTGCACCAATATACTTTTCTGTCACTTCTTTGTCTTTTGTCTGTTTAAGATTCGCTCATACAGTGAAAGAAAGCTTCTTGAATAAACTACTATACTTCTGTTCGTCTCAGTATGAAGTCACCTACTTGCCTACAAAATAAACAACGATGACAACAGATACACAAATCTGAGGCCCAGACAAAAGAGGTTGGAGCGCCTCGAGATTCTTTTTTAATTCAAAGGCTTAAAAATTTAAACTTAGGAGAAGAATAAGCAATTAACTCTGCGCCAATCTTCTTAATCACCAATTTTTTTGTTTTTCAAATAAATGAGCTGCAACCTCTACACCATGCTTCTAATGGCAGCTCAAAGTAAATAGATTATAATTAAATAAATAAAAACCTCTGCAATACCATGGTGAAGGTGAAATAATTAACGCACATTATCATATTTATAATTATCGAAAAATGATTAAAGCAAAACTGTTTCGAAGAAAGAAAGTTTGAAGGCCCCTTAAATCTTGCTAATGGCTTGATATCTATAATTATCAGGCCCTTAATACTGCCCTCCAGCGGTTTTGAACGTGTTATGAAATAAACGCGAGTACTAATTTAATATAATTCTTAGCAATATTCCGATAAGTCAGAAATAATTTTCATTCGCATGCTAAACTTTAATTAATACATAACATTAATATAAAGGAAATTCTGGTCACCATTTGAGGCTTCTTTAAGATACTATAATTATCTGAATCCGGTAGTTGTTTTTTTTGAAAATTTATTTGAGAGTTTCCATTGACTGAAGACATTTTTTTTATTCACCTCACCTGATGTTAAGTGATACCACTGCCCATGGACACTCGCACTGCACAGGAATCGAATTGGTTCGGAAATACTTCAGTGGGCAGCTAGTTCCACATAGTGGTGGTGCGCGGCAGAAATTGCCTTAAAAATCACTTAGCTGTGGAACGACGGACGTCAAGGTGATATGGATGGTATTTTGTATTCTATCTAATCCATCAATTAGAACGAGAAGTAAACCCATAGGACATAATATACCCGTCAATGTAGAAGAGTAAACTAGCTAATACAATTGACGAAAAAACAAAGTAATAATAAAACAATCTCCACTAAACATTACGTTTTCAATTTACTGTTATTTGATGCGAAATTGAAATAGATTCAATTCACCAGCACTAAAAATAAATTCGCAGGACATTAGTTTGTAGATTTATATCTAATATATAAAATTCTCGTGTCGCGGTGTTTGTAATTAAACTCCTCCGAAGCGGCTTGACCGATTCTCATGAAATTTTGTGTGCATATTGGGTATGTCTGAGAATCGGACAATATCTATTTTTCATCCCCCTAAATGTTAAGTCCACCCCTAAATTATATGATACAGCATTAAAAATACATATAACCCCTCATTTTCACCCATCTACGATCAACCCCTATATTTTATTATAAATGATATACATGGCAAAACGACGTTTGCCAGGTCAGCTAGTATTAAATAATATACTTAATAAAACGCTTCTACCCATCGCTTGATCCGATGACTAAGCGACGAAACTTAGCAAAACTAGAAGCAATAATTTACTAAAACAGATAACAGATCCATGTCGAGATATGGCTAGTTTAAATTAGATTTGGGCAGCTTATGGAGTGATTTAATATTATTATTAATCCAGTTTTCCCAGGATATTAGATCTAAGCTTTGAGACGATATTTTACTGAGGAAATTTTGAGGCTATTTTTAACTTTTAACTTCCTGAATCCATAGTAGAATCAAATCAATAGAAGTCCATAAATATTTGGGAATTTCCACTGTCGAGAAATACATTAAAATATCAGCCGTGCGATACTAAATGAGACTTCAGCAACACGTCAACCTCCTAGCTTCGGGCCTCTTGGAAACGACGGACAGTGTGTATGGGCTGAAAAGGGCGGAACTTGCCTCAATCTGTTTTCCAGCTGATTCTCATAGCTGGAAGCCTAACTGCGAAGCCAGCTTTTTATACGTAAAAAAGATTATTACTTAAGATATTTACCAGTTTTGTAAGTGCGAGCCTAATAAAATACATTTTATTTTCTCGCGTAGAAGCGATAGTGCCATTTTCCCCTATATTTAGGTTGTAGTCGGCTTATAAAGCAAAATCCAGCGGTTTTATGAGCTCATAAACTAAATACATAAAGACACGGATTATTTTATTATGAGTCGTCAAAAATATCTAACCGAAAGGGCCTGTGTTTATTTTTATAGACATTACATAAATTTTTAACTTGGTGTCTAGAAGCATATTGTTGAAGGTTTAATTTTTTTATTACATTAACAGACTTTAAAGAAGGCTAATATTTTGAACCTAATTTAATATTGTTTTAATTGCTAATGTGATAATCATCCTAATTTCGTAACTATGTCCAGAAATTATAGGAAACTAAAATACATATCCATACAAATCTTTTTTACTAAAGTCAAGTATATTTTAAATACGGTACAGTTTAAATTTCATCAAATATGATTCCCGAGATATTTATTTATCCAGAAGATTCACAGCACAATACATAAATAGATTTATATATATATATAACATTGTAGGCCAATTACAAATCTTCACATATAGTTTTTTTTTCATAATACAAGAAGGTAAACTTGCCAAATATTTTTAGTGTAAAACATAAAAGAAAAAACAGAACTTAATTAGTTGACAATGAAAGGTTATCAATGCACTTCATTCATCATGGTTGAAATAATTTGGTGTCAATTATCATATCCAAGCATTTCTAGTAGGGGCATGTACAATATACCTAGGTAAATAA